TGTCTGCATCTGGCGCAATTCGAAAGATGCTGGGCAGCTTCACCAGAACTAGTCACTTTTGGCTCCAGGGTTCCTCAACAACCACCACTCCCGCATCTGGGTCTCTGGGATTGTATTCATCTTCTACCGCTTAGCGCATCCTTGGCGTTGGAAAAAAGGAAGAGATGACAAGTGATTAGTACTATTTATAATATCGGTTTGTGCCTTTTCATCTGATCAAGTCGCTAACAGAATTGGTGGCTCGCTTGGTAAAGTCTCGAAGGATGAAGCTTCACAAGTGACCGACTGGCCGTATGATATAGTGACGAGGGAGAGTGGACGGAGACAATTAGCAATGGTCGGTTGACTCCGACTCCATAAAAATCAGATGTTTCATTATCATAACAATGGACGCGAAATGACTCTGTTGATAGTTTACTAATGCTGAGCCTGAGCTCTGGGTCCTGGTCTGGTCGTTGACACTCGCTTTTTTCATGCTAATTTCTGCCGAGCTCAGCCGACAGACCAGTCTCGCTATGCGGTAGGCCGCTCCATCAGTCCTGTTCCGCTCACTTTATGGGCAGCACAGGACGGCGCGTTGTCTCGCAAGGGTGCAATAAATGGTATTTTCGCAACCGAAGCCGCCGATGGGAAGAGTCGGATCTGCTGGAAAGTCTAGCTAGGGGGCGGTGAAATATTATCACTTCTGGGATAGAAGTAGAGGCCTCTGAGACAACAAAACAGCGAATATTTGTATGTTTGCCCAATTCGTTGCAGTTCACTGCATGCACCAGCTACACTAAAAGTGAAGATTTCAAAAATAGTAGAAAGCTCTTTAAAGTGTACATTTTTCCATAAGGTGGTTTAGGCGCTATCCATTCCAAGCAGTCTGAGTGTATGCCGAAGACAAATTTCTTCACTTTATTGTTGACGAGCCACCAATCACGATCCAAGGAGCATCCTCAACTCGGCTGATGGATACGACGCACTCTATGAAGATTTCGCAAAAGTACGCATAAAAAGGCAGCAAGCTCACGAAACAGGTTTTTCTACATATCGCCTATTTTAGTGTTGGTTCGACCTTTCTTCGCAAACGTTTGGGAATGTACCCAACCAATGGTGCGATGCTGGAAATCACGATAATATGGCAGAGGACACGGGATTAGGTACGTTTCACAAAGTCTCCCTGACGCTCCAAAAAAGTTG